TGAAGGTCCTAAGGTATAACATTTTAAAGTGCACTGTATATTCTGGACAACAGGAAATCTTAGTAAAATATCTGACTGTGTAATCCATCTGGTCTGACCAGTTCTCGTTTGTTAGGCATCTCTTATGATCAACATCTGGTGGGATTAGACTGCCCTGAACGACAAGGATTTAGCTTGCTGTACTTACATGCAGCTTTAGTGAACCAAAAGGTCATTGGAAATATCTGTTAAAAGCAAAGTAGTATGATTAATCTAAAATTATTAAATTCATTTTGTAACTGGCAGCATTAGGATTAACTGAGTGAACTGTGCCTTTAAATGTATAATTTGAAACCTAGTTTGTAATGTTGGTCAGTAGAGACCCCTAAATCCAACCTATCGTCACTAGATTGACAGTTCAGAAGGAATATCACTTTTCTTTACTATTTTTCTCAGAAAAAAAAACGGATAAAATTGGCTTGCAAAAAAAATTAAATACTGTGGTCAAATGGATGCTAACTACTTAAAAAAGGTCACAAGTTTCTTGCAGTAATAACCTCAGTGAAGTGGGTAATCTCCTCTGTCCTAAAATAAAACCACTATATGTGCAACTTTTGTATCCTTGTGAGGGACAGGGTCATTTATACATTGTACACAGAGAATCATCATGCAGAGTTCATGTAGGAATTAAAAAACAACCAAAATTCAGTGTCAGGACTCTGAGAGCACCAAAAGCCTTCTACCTCTGAGTAGCCCCCCAGGGCTGCAACACACACCCCCAACCCGCCCCAGTCCTTTCCCCAGCCCTGACCCCATTTCAGCTCAACTCAGTGCCATCACTCCATGCCCTCATGATGCTGTGGGGTGCTGGTTTCTCATTCTCTCCATCACAGCTATGCCTGGCAGAGACCCTGTAGGCTTGTCCCCAGTCCTGTCATTTTGGTGTGGACCTGCCCAGCAATCATGGGTTCTGTCTGACCCTGGTTATTTTTTACTAAACCTGATCGTGTTCCAGACTTGAGGATCGATTTCCCCACTTTACACTGGACCTGCCTTATCACCATGAATTTCTGTGGACGTGTCACCTTGTGGCTGAAATTGGCTGTTCTCTCCGAGCCTGCCCTGCTCCCCTTGCTGGGTGGCTGCTGATGTGGTCCCCTTGGGGGCTGTGCTATTGCTCCTGCACCTCTCTTCCTTAGGGAATTAGACCATGCTGCTCCTCAACAGGAGCTCCTTCCTTTCCTTAAAGTTACATGCATTCTTTCTGGTACAGACCACAAGTGTGTTGCAATTTTATCTCCTCTAGACTCACCATTTTTTACAGCCCACTTGTTTATTTTGTCTACACTCTCAATTTTTTAGAGATTAAAAAAATTTAAATTTCTTCCTTTGCAGTGCAAGTTCTTTATTCCTCAAAATCCCTGTATTTCTTCTTTCACAGGTGCAGGGTGAGGGACTTTGTTGTTCACCTCTCAAACATCACTAAATTTGATACAAGAGCTATGAGGTAGGCAAATATTGCTGCCATCCACTTTACAAGAAAAATGTACAGCTCGACTTGGTAGCAAACTTTAAAACCTTTATTTCAGTCATAGGAGCTGAATCAAAGAGCAGCTCTGGCAGAATGAGAGAGTAAAAACAGTTCTCTTACATTCCATCTTCTCTTTTACCTAAAGCAAAAGGGCCATTCTTTTCTTCCTGCAAAAGCACCCCTTACAAACCCTTCAATTTTTGGAACTTGTTCCTGAGTAAACATATTTGCACCCCGGTAATTTTTGCAGTTGACCACACAGATTAAATATGTAGTATGGTTAAATACTGATTTCATCTAGGTTTGTAGGCAGAACAGTGCAAAAGTGCCTTTCACGGGTTTGTGAAAGTTTTCAGGTTTATTGATGATCAGGTAGTTCCTGTTTTGGGAAAATGAAATATTGCTGTCTTTAAAGTATGTAAAGTTGATATCAACAGACATAGAGCTACAGCCTTCATTAAATTGTTAACAAGGGCCTAAAACCCCCTGGAATTACACTGCTTCTGTGTTACAATCGATGCAAAATTTCCTTAGCAACTGTGGATCCCCATAAAAACTTAATGCAGTTTTGCACTTTGTACAGCAGTTTCTGAAAGTTGAAATTATCCTATTTGCACAACAAAAACCAGAAGCACAGTAGTTTACAGTTCTCTTTACTTGGAGTTGGTGGAATGAAACAGTTGCTGCTGAGCTCTAAAACTGCTTGTACTAAAACTGCTGGTGCTACGCTTTCCAGGACTGCAAGCATCTGCTAAAACAAAACATGCAGCATTTTGTAGTCTCAGCTTCACAAATTCCATTCAAAATAGGAATGTTTGCGTCAGGATTCGCAGCTCTAGAAGTGGAGGTGACTGACTTTGGACCTAAATCCAAATCAGAGGAATCTGTGCTTAAATTTATCTGAAAGAAGTGAATAACCTCTGTAGAAAGAAGACCACAAGTTTCCATTCCATGATATATTTAGAGTACTTATAAAGGAAGAAAAGAACCTGTGGTTGGTGGAGGGGGAAATAGGAAGTAAAAACTGGAAATATAGTAAACTGGAAAATGTAGAAAAAATGCTCCCAGACCAGGGACACAAGACAATGTGTCCGACATAGGTCAGAGCATTGAAAGGGCAACATCATCTTTTAGAAAAACCTTGTGAATTCTTACAAAGCTGCTAATATCTTGTTGGGATAATGGGAATCACCTTTCTTTTGGCAAAATCTCCACAACAGATGCATCTGGAAAACGGCAAATATCTGCTTGCAGCAGTAAAGGGAAAGGTTTTCAACTTCTTTGGCACAAAATCTAGTAAGGTGTATATTTTGGGAGATTAGTCAGTAGATAAATGAAAAGTCTAGGAGCTCTGAAAGCCACAAATACTTTGCTTCTAGCAGATGAGCCAGGGGAGATGTCAGAGAAATTTCTCAGTGGCTGAATTTAAATAAGCGCTGCTCAGAACAGATCCCAAACAGATGCAATTTAATTCCTCAAGTGCAGAGTTCTGAAGGGATGGAATCCCAACAAGTCAGTAGACTATCTGAAGTATAATTTTTATAATCATCAGCCTTATGCCCACCACTGAAGCCTATCCATAAGTATTAATATTATTTAATGTGTGGTTTTTGTCATTGTTCTTACGTTAATAATGGTCTAATTTGACTAGACAGTATTTGGTAAATCAGCTGTTTTCTGCTCAGTTTAGCTGAGTAATGTTGATCTAGTCTTTCTTTGATTTAAAGACTGAGTAGAATTGGTCAGAAAATACCAGAAAAGCAAATCTGAAACTAAAGTTCTTGTCATACAGAAGAATGTAGGACAGTATTGGGTAGAAGCATATGACAAGTTGTCTTCCTTTGGAAAGTACATTGATGCTAAGTAAGAAAAATGCTACTTTTTGTCAGTAGCAAATGATAGTTCTAGTGTTCTCTTACACTAGGTAGAAGGATTTTGGACATTGGATAAATTATGATAAAGAGAGGTTTGTTTTCTTGTGTTATCACTGATGTCTTGTTTTAAAAAAAGCAATTTTTCTTTCTATTAAGACAGACCTCTGTTGCAAGGAGCAGTTAATGGCATTGCTGGAGCTAAAATAACAATAATTCAGTTTTACTAGTATAGAAGCAGAAAAAGAAGTCACTACTGATCACTTTTTGTGACACATTTTCACAGAATGAGTTTAAAAACTGGCAACTTCACAGAAGGATAAAGGATGTAACTCAAATCTTGGCAGGCTGACCATTCTGACTTGCTTCTCTGAGATAAAACAATTTTAAATAAAAAAGTTACTTATATGTCCATTTTTCCTAATAATTTTAAAAGGTTATAAAGTAAAAAATGTGTCTTAGTAATTTTAAAACATGACTAAAGGGGATAAGATGATATAGAGGCCATGAAAGAAGTAATTAAGGCAGCTGGTGTAGTGATGATTGTCAGGAAATGACCCATACAGAGGGTCATCAGAAAGTATCTGCATATGACACAGAGGCTTCTAAATTCTCCAGTTTAATATCACGTATCTTCCATCCTCGGTTTTCTGCGTTTGCATGTGGGATACCTGTTTTACACTGATTTGCTTCTCCTATTTCTGTTATTACAAACAAATTAAATAGACAATCACTGCAATTGATGTGATCATAATTCTATTAACTTAAAATTGGTGTGCCACTCTCTTCATTTCAGTCTGTAATCATGTTGCAGACTAAAATTATTTTTGCTTATCTATTAGGAATAGTAATGTGAAACTGGCTTTGCAGTCATGTGGCTGGAGGAAAACCAGCAGTGATTAAGACAGAAAACCTTGAAGTAGTTATATGGGAAAAACAACTAAATTAGAAAGCCAGATTGCTTTGTATGTTATCTGGCTTCTTTGTGCTGTTAGGCAGCTCAGAGGACAGTCTTGCTGCTGTTAAACAGGTGAAAAAAATCTGCTAGTACCTGGTTGCATGTGCCACCTTCAAGCCAACTATACATCTTGCTGCCCCAAGGTGTGATGAGTGGTCTAAGAGAGGGGTAGGCCACAGTGGGATTTACTAGGCTTTTTCAGTCCCTAAGTGATGTAAGCTAAGCTCTGCTGGTTCATGCTAGGACCAGCTGAAATAAGTGCTTGAGAATGTATGAGTTTCCTTGTTGAGTCTTTTCCCCTTGATACTGTCTCATACATCACTTCAGCTACAACAAAGTTTTTGGTCCCTACAAGCCTGGAAATACAGAAGCATTGTCCATCCCCATGACACAAAGTAGGAGCCCAGTTGGTGGGGTTGTGTGTGAACTTTTTTTTGCCACACGTAGTAAAGTCTTTTATGTGGTGCAGCCATTGATAGCAGATGGTGGTCGAAGAGGAATAGCGCCTTGATCACATTTTGGGCGAAATAGAAAAAGCTATGTGGGTGCATATATCATCGTCAAGATCATTGCTCGTCATTACAGATATAAAAGCAGCCCATCTGCTTCCTTCTCACTGGCTCTTGGTTCACTAGTTTGCCTTTTTCTCATCTTGTGACAGGTGAGGAATGATCTGACTGGCGTCCTTTATGGTGAAGACATCGAGATTTCAGATACTGAGAGTTTCTCCAATGATCCCTGCACAAGTGTAAAGAAGCTTAAGGTATGTGTTGCTGTTTGATGAAAAAGAGAAAGTGATAATTTTTTTTTTTTTTTCTGTGAAGAGGATTAAGGAAACAAAATTTGTGTTGGAATGATGTATTACTACATTCCATTGCACAATGATATAGAAAAATGGCATTTTGAGGGTGTAGTCCTTCTTAAGTTAATGTAGGTCTATGTGTATAGTAAATATTTTTAATAGTTCCCAATGGTGATACTAAATAAAGGAAGTTGTTGCTGGCTTAATGTTTGCACTTAAAGCCCCAATCATAGTGATATACATGTGAAAACTCTTGAGGTTTGGAACCAGAACCTTTTTAAGGTAAATTATCATGTAGAAAGGATATTGAGCCTCTTTCCATTAGCTCCATTACACATTTTAAATTGAATTATTTGCTAACATCATCTGCATGATTTCAAATGAATCATAAGGAAAAAAGAAAGAAAAACAAATTTGTTAGCAGAATAATTTCCCATTCTTCTCTTATTATACTGATTTATTAGACTTCTGCCACCTCATAAAATTAAAACTATATTTTAGCATTACCATGCAGCACAACCAGCAATAAACTAGACACAGGAGATATGATTCTTAAACTGCACAGGAACATGAAAAAATGATTGAACAGCAGGAGAAAACACTTTTAAATGGCAAAGACCAACTTGTTTCTGGCATCAAGTACATATGACACACAATCAAAGCCACAATCCTGCAAATGCTTAAATATGTGTAAAACAGATTACAAAAAAACCCTAAATTATGTTTAAAAATAAAGATAAAGCAAGAACATTGACCTGTGTAAGACTAGGCCACTACTGAGGCTGAAAACGTTCTGGAGCATGGTAAACTAAGTATGCTTTATTATTTCCACAATCTAGAGATGTAAGCCTGAATGAAAGTTCAAAGTATTATTAGGTAAAGATTACATTAGTGGAAAGCCATTTGTGTCTGTCCAGTTTAAGCCAGTTTGCATTTCCTGTGTGGAAACCTGTCTAGGTTGAAGAGATTCCAGTAGATGTTGCAGTAAAGTCTATATTTTCGACTAGCATTGGTGTAATAACAAGAAAAAAATGCATATTAAGCATGGATCTTTAGCCTGGAATTCAGAAGAAGCAATGTGATTCTAGCTTTCCTCTGCATCAACATGCTGGGCTGCTTTGCAGGGAATACTAGAAGACTGAACTAACAGTATATTTGTTATCTCTTGATTTCTTTTTCAAAACAAATTTTAAAAATAAATAAGCAATTATCCAGAAAATTGCTTTTTTTTGACAGAAGTATAAGGTTAGTTGCTGTTAGGTACAGGTTAGACACAGAATTTAGCTAAGCAATTCTAAAAAATTATCATTCTTTTTTTCAACATGTAAACCTCATATAGGTAAACTTGTATCTGCTTACCTGAAATAACTTTTATTTTCACAAACACATTTAAATTAATGAAATTGATGATTATAGAATGGAAAACAGAAAAATATGTTATGATTTGCAGAAATATATTTTATATTTCTCAGTAACACCTTAGTTTCGACTGCATTGACTGCACAGTTGAAAGGTAAATTTAAGCTTAAGGTTTTAAAGAAAACTCAGTTTTGTGTTCAGAGAAAAGGATACATTTGTACATCCATGTAAATGCTTGAAAATTCTAAGGATTCACAGACAAATTTTAAGAGCAATAACACTTCTGCTTCCAGCTTTTTCGTATCTTGCATGTAGGACAAAAGAATTACCATCATGTTATGATGGTGGGAGTTGATGTCCTCCAGTTCACCTTCACTGTCAGCAATTCCATAGCTAAGGTCAGAGGCTTATCTATAGTTCTTCAAGTGGACATCCAAGCATTTAGAAGGCAGAACATGTGGCTACCTCTGCTGTCAAAGTTACCCAGGTTTTTGTAGATTTATTGATAACCTCTTGACTGTCAGATACATGGTGGAGAATAAGACAGAGTATCTGAGCTATTCAATTTAGGTGTCTCATAAAGAGCCTGCCAAGACATTGACTTTTCCTGGCAGATGAGATATTGTAGCAATCCTTCTCTGGAAAGCTGTATAATACAACATTGTGGTGTTATTCATTAGAAATGAGACAGATTAAAATCTGATCAAAGAAGAGAAGCTCCGAAGGCTGAAAAAAAAACCTAGCTGCCTATTCCAGCATAATATGCATCACTCAAAAACTCTGAAAAGGCTAAAGAGTGTCTCGTGTCTGAGGCTGTTAGAAATGGCAGTGAAGAAGACAAGTTCTTCCTCCCTCAGTTGAGCATCTTACATGTTCTGATCCTCCCTCTCTTCAGGGTTTATATTACTCAGCTCCTGGTGCTTCCAAAGACATTTTATATTTAGCAGCCAAAAAATATCCTCACCTATGTGAAAGAAAGAAGGCAGAAAAAGAGTAATTATTTTTGAAGCGGTACTATAGTCTTAATTTATAAAACATGTTTTTATGCAGGGTTTGCCACAACTGTGGGTAAATGAAATGTAACTATTCTTCATTTTCTTGTTTGAACTTCAGTCCATATGGGAACATATGTATTTCTTACTGAGGGGCAAAGCTTAAATGCTGATATTGCTACTGTAATCTCTGGGAAGAGTAAATATGACAGCTCACCATCTGGCAAACAGTCTAAACATTGGTCTTTTTATGTAAGTGCAGCTTTGGGAGTTGCCTTCCCCCGGGATGTTTTTAATCATCTTGTAGATCACCTGCCTAGTTCCATGAATTAAAACCTTTTCTGTCAAGTATGTTTTAGCTCCATGCAAGCAATTTACAGCTCTCTGAAAAAGAGACTTGACACTTGCTGGGATCCAGTGGGTGATTTCTTTGATCTCTATGAGGAAGTTCCACTGTGTTAATTTGCATCATTCTGCAAGGGTTTGTGTAAAGGAGTAGTATATCCTTGCAAGGAAATCATGCTGGCTAATGGCATGAATGAATGGGTAAAAAAGTTATGCCCAGCAAGCATCTGATGCATCTCTTTGCATGAGTCTGTAATGTGGATTTTGACCCACGAGCACTGACATGAACCCAGCTCTGATATGGATAAAACCTCTGCAAAGGACTTGAGCTATGTGCAGTTGCATGAATTTGAAGCTTCAGTGTCTCTTATGTGGGATGGAGCCAGCAGACCCAAGCCTGGCATCCAATGAATCTAGGCTTACTTGCAATCTTGAATGGATTGCTTCAAGAGCAAATTTGGGAAAATGTGGAAGGGGATGCAGAAAGTGGAGCTCAGGAGGAAGAGGCTGGCTGAGGAGTGGCACTGTACAGAGGAAGACTGTTATGCATGAACGAGAAGAGCTGTTGTATAGACTTTCCTAAATTAGCTCCTAAATTGCAAGTGTTCTGACACACAATTCCTTGGTTACATAAGTACGTACTAAATTATGTGATAATCAGGTGGAAGCAATGTCTTAAGGCGTGAAACCACACACCACAGACACTATGACTTCAGTCTGAATGTTGTCACACAGCCAGTGGGCAGCATTGCTGCATGTGTACTCTGGGATTATTATTTATGAAGCCACACAGTTTACGTATTTTGTTTATTTGTTTGTTTAATTGCTTCTCATCATGTTATAAAATGGAATTTAATTTTAATTATTAGGTGCTGTGCCATTTATTTATTAATCAAACTCTGCTACTCTTTTTTAAAATATTAAGTCTGCATTTTTATGTTCAGAGCAGTCAAGTGACTCAGAGCTGAGGTTCCAAGAATAACCATTTTTTTTTTTAATGTGAAAAAAAGAAATAGTAGATGAGGTGAGTTTTGTTGTGCATAATTCCTAAATCTATTTATTTTCCTTACAAAAACTGTAATACTATTGCTGTAATTTGTGTAATTTGTTTGTTTAGATTCATGTAACCTTGTTAGATTTGTTTATAAAGAATATAATCCACTTGAAAAAGATTTACATTACTTTTTCAGTCTGGCTAAATATAAAAATGAAGAGAAGCAGGCTTACTGAAAATGCACAGGTTCAGAATGAGCAAAGCACATTACATTATTTCTCATTTAAACCATGCTAAGAGTGATACTATTGTCATGCATTTAATTAAAGAGGCATTCTAATATCTTACTGCACTGTCCATCATAACATTTTCTGCTGAACAGGAAATAAACAGTGAAATCATCTGAGCTAGATTTCTATCTTTGACAAATTGATTTAATTAAAACTTAAATGGTTTTTGCCACTGAAAATCATACCAAATCATATGTTTGTTTTTTCCTTGGAGAGGGAAAGAGCTATTAGTAATTCTAAACAGGTCTTATATGAAAGAAATGAAAAATTTGATTTGCTCAAGCTTTTGCAGAGAACTCTGCCTTTGTGTGAAAGAAAAGGTAATGTGAAGTCATAAAAGTGTGTTTTGTGGATATTAGAAGTAATATTTTATGTTAGGAAGAGGTTAGTCCTGTTCCTGAAGAAATGTTTTCCTGCATATGCTCCTGAATTTAGGAAGACTCAATGTTTCTAAGAATGAGAGTAAAATTATCTTTGGACTTCAGTCATAGCTTCTTAAACTGCGATGATTTTTTTTTAATGTGTGGAGGTGGGAGGGAGTATAGAAGGAGTTGACCATGCATTATAGTGACTATAGAGAAGATGTTGTTTTAGTAAAACCTTTAAAAATTATACAAGCAGGCATAGTATCAAGGCATTTGATCTCACAAATCTCATTTCTTAATTTTACAGTTTTATTTCATGCAGAGAGTGATAAGTTTGTGTCTTCAACTAGTTCTAATATGCAAAACTGTAGAAGAAATATTGCAAGGAAGCAAAAGAATATTTGATATTTTAGTGTTATTGAATACTAATATTTGGCTGTAGTATCACTTTTACTCTCATTAGTGCTATTGCCTAATCATTTTCTACACCTCAGTTTTTGATTTTTTTTCTTTTGCGGATCTTCAAGTTCTTGACCTTAAAGAAGGTGAAATAATTCTGTATTAATTCTGTCTGCAGCTGTAATCTGAGCTAACTCCCTGCATGATCTGAATGGCCAATTAAAATGGTATCTGGAAGCTGCGACTGTGTTTAACTGCCACGTATTTTATTCAATCTGCAGGGTAATGACGTTCGGATAATCCTTGGCCAGTTTGATGAGGAAATGGCTGTGAAAGTTTTCTGCTGTGTAAGTAAATATACTTAATTGCATGTCAGACTAAGGAATGTGCTGCATTTGAATAAAAAGCAACTTGAGCATAAACATTTCTTCATGGAGTTCAGCTCTCTGAAGGTTTGTAGTCTAAGGAGAGGTTACACATGCTTAGTTCCATTTATCTTTCAGTCAAATGCTTTGTACTTTACTTCAGTGGAATTTAGGCATAGGCTACATGGTTAGCTTCTTCTTTTTATTACTTTCCTGTAGCAAAATTAAATGCCAAATCAAACTTCACATCAGATCTGAGGAAATACTTGTGTTTCTAGCAGATGATAGAGGGGGAACTGCAAGATTTCAATCTTGTCCAAGAGCTGTGTTCTGGTGAAAATGTCTCTGTGTATGGATTTTGCATGTTTTGCCTTTAAAGAATAAGAAATTCAAGCCAGTTTCTATACATCCTAACTCAGCAATACTAAAAATTTCCGCTTCTGAAAGTGTTACTAATTGTAAGTTGTCATTCCCATCTGACTGCTGTAACTTTTACATGTATTACATGAAAGCAAATATTAGTTGGTAAAAAATATAGTTTTGTTAACCATAACAGTAAGACTAGCAAACATAAAATTCCCTATCTTCACCATTTGTTTGTGTGAATGTGCTGCAAACTTATCTACTGTTATTGCCATTAAAAGTAGCAGGATTAAAATGTGGATCTAGACTTGTACCAGCCTGAAAAAAATCCCAAAGAGAAAGGTTTTAGTGGCCTAAGTATTGAATTCTTAGTCTAAATAGTTAGATTAATCCAAGAACACAGTAAATATAATGGAAAAGCAATAATGACAGCATCTAAATTTCCAAGGGTGTTTTTTAGTGTTCACGTAGTGAGACAGTTACCTATCCTTGGAAAGAAAGGAAAGGCAGAAGTTCAAAATCTGAGCGCTACATGTGCCTTGATACATTTTGGCTCTTACTCAGCAGCTGTCCCAGTTGGTGGCAAAATTTGGAAAGGATATTGTATAGTATATTTGGAAGGAACAAAATCTGTTTTCATCCAAAAGGAAATAGAAAGTATTATTCTATTTTTCATTCTTCTCATCTCTGATAGGTCTTTGTATATAGATCTTTTTGTACAGCCATTTAAACTGGATTGACAGAGATAATCTCCTATTTTTTCATTCCTGGAAGAAAGAATGGTACTTCTGCAGCCCAGATCCTCCTCAGATCTCTTGAGCTTGGGCTGCATTTCCCCAGCAGAGGGATGCTGGTCAGAATTATCTTCCAGTCCAACATTAGCAAGAGATTGACCTAATTTCTAGTTGCCCTTAATTTCTATTTGCATTTCTCTCAAATTCTCTTCCAAATCCATGTGCTTGTGAAAAAATCCTAGAATTCCTTGGAGAGGCAGGCTGTCCTTCAGTCTGCATTGCTGTCATCTGAAGGGTTCCAGGGAGAGGATGTCTCTGTCACACAAGCGCTGGCCGCAGATTTCTGTGGCTATGGTTTGGCGTGAACCTGGGAAATGTGCACAACTCTGAGAGGTTTAAAGAGTGATGGCTGCTTCTAAAGTACATTAGTGTCAAAAATAATAGGGTGGATTTTTCTGGAGCCTGGAGAGATCTGAAAAATCCTGTATTTAAGCCTGTTGAAATGTATTTATTTGAGAGTTTCAGCAGGAGACTGAATGCAGGAGAGGGCAGTTCAAAGTAGGTCATTTATATATTAATGCACTACAATATGTCAGAAAGCTTGTTATTACTCATAAAATGTATTGTTGACTCATGCACTCCTACAGATATATGTCTAAGAGTACAATAATTTAGATATGCCAAGTTTTTTAACTCCTCTTTTCCAGGTGTATCTTCAGATAGGTTTCACTTGTGATTTCCTGGGTTTATTTTGTAGAGTTACTGACTTCAGTCAGGAAAAGACTTTGAGTTTGTTAAAGGAAGTTGCTTTTCCACTAGTGCAAGACTTTTTTTTTTTTTTTTTTTCTTCTGATTGTGGCTATATCCTAAATATTATTTGGTAATCACTTATGTAGGTGGCAAAACCTTTAAAGTGTGCCTCACTTTTTTGCCTGGATTCAACAGCTATATGCTGTGAGGTTTCCTCAGGACACACATAGGAGTTTATATAAGATCATGTAAATCTTTAGATCATGTAGATCTTTAGGTTGTAAAAGACCTTTAAGATTATCAAGTCCAGCCATTGACCCAGCACTGCCAAGCTCACCACTAACCATGTCCCTGAGTGCCTCATCTGCACATATTTTGAATGCCTCCTATGACGGTGCCTCAACCTCTTCCCTGATCCCTGATAATCCTTTCAGTGAAGAAGTCTGTCCTAATATGCAATCTAAACCACCTCTATTGCAACTTAAGATCATTTCCTCTTTCCCTATTCCCTGTTTGGAAGAAGAGACCAACACCCGTCCCCCCCCCCCCCAAAAAAAAAAAAAACAAAAAAAGACTAAAAGAATAATGCAGTAGCAAACTTTAAAAACAGGACAGGACTGGTTCAAGCTAAAGTGAATGTTGGCAGGTATTTCCTACAAGGATTTAAATGAGCTTAGCTGTTCATTTATCACCAGTGTCAAAAACAGGTAGCAATTTTAGTTCTATGGGAAATCTTAGCTTTGTAATTAATTTTCACCTCAGTGGGATGAATGGGATGTTTTCTTGGAATAGAAATTAAGGCCTTTTGGTCAAAACTTAATACTTCAACAATCAACAAATTGCCGATAATTGTTTACTACACATAAGAAATATCTCTTACATGAATCTCTTTGTTGTAAATAAGAATTTATTTATGGATTGAAACAAGAATGAAATGTTTTAAAAGAAAAAAATTAAAATTCCCTTTCACAAAGACAAAAATTGTCCATGAGAGTTTCCTGACTGCTTGACAGCAACTTGGGGCTTTGCATTCTGCATAGGGCATGGGAGAAAGATTAAGGAAAATGGATGACTACTTTATGCTGTTCTGTTGGTATAAAGTATGTGAAACACCTTCTTGCTCTTGTCTGCCAAAAAAATCTTCCCCTTAGAAACTGGAACTTGTAACTATTGGTCTATGTGCAATCAAACAGTTCAAGAAAGATCCACGTGTTTCAAGTACTTGTATCTTTTCAGCATCAAAATCACCTCCATTTAGCAGAATCAACTGGGAGAAAATGCTGGTAAAAGAGCATTATTTTGCAATAAGTCTTCTGGTACCCAAGTGCTGAAATGTCTGAATACTATCAGCTGTGCTGTCACTAGAAAAATGAATGCAAGGTCATGGTGCTCAGCCTCAGAGGAGCTGGTTTTCTTCCTACTTTTGCCTTCCCCAGACTACCCTTCAAGCCCTGTCATTCCACCAGATCTCAAAGCAAGAGTTGACAGCTCTTGCTTTGTTAAACTAGATTGTTACAGAGATCTGAAAATGTAACCAGTCTTTCAGACAGCCACGTTGGGAATGATCTGTTGTTTCTAGGATGAAATTTCTGGCCATTTTGAAACTTTCAGTCTTCAGCTCATTTCCCAGGGCATTCACAGATTAGGCAGGAAACAGTACAAGTGCTTATGCAAACAGAAAATTTCCAGCAGCTCTAATTTCAGAATCGTTCACAGCCAATACTTTCTGGCAACACACAATTTGATACTTTAATCTCTATAGAGCAGGGGAAGCTATATAAGATTGTCCTTCTCTGAAAGCACTTTTCTGTGTCAGTTTGCATCCTCATGATTGGAAAACTGTCAGATAAAAAACCCTGAGTCACTGAAAGGTCTTGAATGACCTAACTGAATAATGAAAACTCTTTCAGAAGGAAATACTGCAGGATGGAATTGCTATTTTCCTCGCAGGTGGCCCTGGAGGGGAGGTGGGTAGCAGGACAGAAGCAGATATGTTTCTGGAAGGGCAGAATTAACAAGCAAGAGAAAGACAAACTGTTTATGTGGATTGTGGAATAAGTAATATATGAGATGCAAGACGCCAGGTTTCAGACAGGACTTTCAAGCAGCATTGTATACAAAGGCATGAAATTTGATTTTGGCTGAACAAAAGCTTCTGCAACCAGGGGCCAAATAAATCTGCTTTGTGCACAATACTGTTATGAACTGAGCTGGCACCATTATAATAGACTTCACAGATTTAAAGCCCATTTTTAATTTGGGTATTAACATATTTAGGAGGCTGTCCTATTTAATATATTCTGCTATTGATCTTTACTTCTCTGATAGGCTTTTTGTATGATCTTTGGGATACTTTTCAAAACAGCTATTTCAGAATGTATCCTGTTTGCATTCTTATAATTTCCTCCTGTAATATTTTCTGTGAAAACATAGCAGTTTTCCTGTTACAAGCTCTAAGCTTGCACCATGTACTTCTAAAAATTAGAATTTTTATCTTAGGTCTTCTCTCTCAAGTATTGCTTATATTAGGAGCCAAAGAAGCATGAAACCTGCAGTTTTGAAATGGAGTCTGACTGAAATGTCAAAAGAAAAATATCTAGTTGCAAGACAGTGAGAGAAACGTCTGAGATAAAATTTGCTAATTTTATCCAAGCACACTCTTCCCAATCAAAGAGAATACTTGAGAATAGATCAGCTTTTAGGTACAACAGCATATGTCCCTGACTAAGAAAGTATTTCTGTTTCCTGTTATATATATCTCTGCTAAGTATTGACAGAAGATAACTATAATCTTAGTATTACAGTGGGCTGTATTCAGTATTCCAACAATACAGAATTTCATATGAAGACAATTCTTGCTGAGGAAAAAAAAAGTCATTAATATTTTGCTTTATCAATTCTCTATTCACTCATGCTCCTCAGAAGGAACAGCAAATTTAATGTTACTGTGATCTGCTTTTATCAGTCACCTAATACATATTTGCCACATGTGATTTGATGGTGCCTATGATCCAAGTTTTCTAGTTTACCTAGTCCTTAGGTTAATTTAAGTGTGATAATAACTTAGTTTAAATGTGGTAGCATGGTGGTTCCATCACTTATGCAATAGTTGTGTTATGAAGAACTTTCTGTGGAAAACTGTGCCTTCTGTTTGTGTTCCTCTTTAACTCCCTCAGTTCTAGAATACAGTTTCATTTTTCTGTTTTATAAGAAATTATTTTCACCGAAAGAAAAACAGGGTTTAGTAAATTCTCATATCCTGAATTCTAAAGTCAGGAGTCTACCAAAAAAGTCTTCATTATTAGCAAGTAATTATTCTAAACTGTTCAAAATACTTGTGTACCCCAATTACACCATGAATTCATTAATAATCAAAAAAAATGTTAACAAAAAGCAATTGATTTTAGGTTCAATACCTCTATTACAATGTCCATTATATTTTCTGTTTTTCTTATTTTCAGGCTTATGATGAAGAAATGTATGGCAGCAAATACCAGTGGATTATTCCAGGCTGGTATGAAAATCTTTGGTGGGAATCCTGGATTAACTCCTCACAGTGTCTCAGCAAAAATCTTCTTGCAGCCATGGAAGGTTATATTGGAGTGGATTTTGAACCTCTCAGTTCAAAAACCAATAAGACTATATCGGGAAGGGTTAGTATTTTTCTGCCATCTGTGTTGTTATACCGTCAGTTCTCTCACTGCTGGGTTGGCACAATAAAAGCACCAAGGAGGGAGGTGAAGCTAAAAGGTTCTTCTACCAAGTGACCTGGCAGCCATCACAGTTAGTTTTACCACTTTCCACTAGTTTGCAATTTTAAAATATTTGAAAATCAAATCTAATTCTCTACAGGGTAAGAAAGCAGTGAAGTCCCTTGCTTCAAATCTACCCTCTTCCCCCATTATGAACATTATAGTTAAATGTACATCAAAGTTTGAATTGCAGTTTTTAGTATCATGTGCTGTGTTTCTTCAAGTTAAATAGTTGAGCGCAGAAACAAAAAACACATATTTAAACCTGCAAACAGCCAATTTGAATGGTGATTTGTGCCTCTCAGAACTAGGGGGCAGGAGGTGAAGCTTGCTTTAAATAAAAAAAATGTGGTGTTTCCATAAAGCAGATACAATTTTATCACAGGACAAGTCCATAAAAACTCTGACCAATGAATATCCATGCCTGATTTTGCTGATTTTCATCTTTTTTTTTTTTCTATCTGCCTTTCATGCCTTGCTGAGTGATGACGAAAGGCGTGATAGCACACCATCCAGAACATAGTGAACTTGTAAAATAGAGACAAATTGACACTCAAATTTCATATTGAGCAAACAGTTGTTCAGGTAAAGGTTATTTGATTTGTGTTATCCTGTAAAGTGTAATCAGACCACTAATTTGCAGGGATACAGACTTATTCTCTGTTCTAGTATTATGGCTTACCAGTGTACAGTTTTCTTTGAACTGGAGCCTTTTGTACAAAAGTAAAACAAAGCAAGTTGTCATTTATACAGTGAGGCAGTACAACTGCTTTCAGACTCTCTGTCTTCTAGTTCTGCTTCCCAATCTCACCAGCAGTTTTTAAATCAGGTAATACATGTTTCTTGAATTTTATTTTCTCTCATAATTTTTATTTTGGAGGCCTTTTCTATATTAATTATGCACATCTCTAAATTGGAGAGTGCAGTTTGAGGTGTTGGTTTAGATTCAACTCAGCAAAACGTTAGATAAAATGAAGTAAAACTGAATTTAATCTCCTCTGCAGACTCCACAGCAGTATGAAAAGGAATACAATGCTAAGCGTGGTGATGGGCAATCCAGCAAATTTCATGGTTATGCCTATGATGGAATATGGGTGATTGCCAGGACCCTGCAGCGGGCAATGAATTATCTGAATGCCACCAACAAGCACCAAAAAATTGAAGACTTTAACTACACAAATCACAAACTCGGCAAGATTTTTCTGAATGCTATGAATGAAACCAGGTTCTTTGGAGTGACGGTAAGTCCTCATCACATAATTGTGGGATGCAGTAGACTTGTGACTTTGTGTCAGTAGTGGAAACAAGTATTAAATATTAAGTAGGTTTGAAAAAGAAACACAGTTGTGTATTTCTTCTATCTTCAGAGCTTCCAGTTCCACTTTATATTAAAAATTAATGTTGTTGCCTTGACAGTCTTGCTCATTACCTGTCTTCAGATGCCAAGGGATGACACTGTACAATTCCTCAGTTATCAGATTTTTTAGCATGAATGTCATCTGAATTAACAAATCAAAGTGGTCTCAAGGGAATCACAAATTTTGTAAGCTGCAGTGACCTTTTAAGCAAATGTTTTAGCAGTTAAAGATTAGCTGGAATTTGATCCGAAAATACATATTTCTCTCCATCATTTAGATTTGGTAATAGGTTATAGTACACTGTCTATAATTCCAGTGCTGTACATCCTAGATATTCTTGCAACATCCTTCATTTGTGATTTAAATTTATTTATAATTTACATTTTTTCACAGTTAAATACAAAGCATGCTCATATTGCATTAAGAACTGGTCATATACAGTAGTATCCTCATTCTGATTTCAGTTGTACAATTGCAAACCCTTAATTTTTTGGGTTTTTTTTTTAGAATTTGTTTACACGTCTGCTTTTTAGCAGAGTAAAACAGTTGATAGGAGTGTGGCCTTAAAACTTCTTAATTGCTTAATTGTATCTGAGCAGCATCAGTCAGAAGTTAGTGGTGCACATAGGTTCAGCAGTCTGCAGAGCTCACCAAGAAAGATGAGCGGACTCCATTTCAGGGAAAATGGTCTTTGGAACTTCCAATAGCTGCAACAAGGAACCTACTGGAATATGCTTTGTTAAGCAGTGTGCTTGGTCTGCAATATGATTAGATAAGGAAAACAGTGTTTGAAGAAAAGTGTATTCCAGTGGTTCACAGAGGGGCATCTCCTTGCAGCAAGAGCATGGAGAAGGCTGGAGGGAGCTGGTCAGATTCTGTCCCCATGTTAGAATAAACTTTCTTGGATATCAATTAACATCTAAACATGTTGAAGTAGAAGAACTAAGTTTGTCATACATGTCAGAAACTGGTTCAAGGAGGAAATGTCTGCAGAAATAAATCAACAAGGTGCGAAGACTCAACTTTTTGGTGTCCTTGTTAATTGCTGAAAAAGCTTTCTGTGACGTGGTAAAATTTAGAGGAATTCAGAATTTCTAAGTAAATCCCAACCATATGGCAAGACAATGCTAGTATCTAGTTGCTTGTACAATATGAATTTTGCTTTCTTTTTACACTGAATTTGACTGAAAGTTTCAGCAAAATAATTTGTTATTCCATTGTATCCTCAGTAGGACTGGATGAAGCTTTTCAAACAGACCATTCAGGGACTCAGTTATATTTGTTCGGTGTTATTCCATGTATGGTATCTATCAATAGGCTTGAAATTAAATATTGCTATGTAGTTCCTTTTTGGTTTGTTTTTTTAGTCTTTTTTTTCCTTATCTTTTTTCCTTCTGCTTAGTTTTGCAGCCAGTTATGGTGAAATAGATAGATTTCGTTATCATTGCTTAATTCTTTTCCAACAAAAAAAACCCCCAACAAACTCAAACACAAAAAATCTAAGATTGAATGAAAGAAAGCTCTTTTTTACTAGTTTCAGAGACACAGCAAAATCTCACAAGCAGAAAGGAGGGAATGAATCCCTTTAGGGAGGGAATGAATCAAAGCTTCAACAGCCACATTCAACTATGTTTACTGACTTTATTGTCTCAGGTATAATGGTTTTCAAATAAATTACTGCATGATTACTCACTGTACTTAGTACCTGTCTGAGGTACTTGGTAATTTATCATTGATAATGATAAATTATCATTTATCTTTATCATTGGTCAGCCAAATCATAATGACAATGCACAGCCCAAATCTGGTAATTGCAAGGATCATGCTTCCTATACCTGTAATTCACAAAAATATTTTATTGAGAGAGATATGGAGAGAAGAAAGTCTACAGCAATCACACTTTCTTATGGCTTAATTACAACACACAATGCTCAAGCTTTTCCAGACAGAATGGGGAAAAAGAGTTTTGGAGGAATATCAATTATTTTGTATTGTAGTGTTCAGAAATTGAAGGAACAGATTGATTCTTACCAGAATTACTTTTAAACTTTTTATTCTTCAGTCTAGCAAATTGCTGTCATTTGTGACCTAATTTAAAACTTTCACTGGAATATGAGTTATAAGTCTTGGAGTGCTAAATCTAATTTGATTTCGCTTTCTAGTATATGTATTTTAATATAAATTTTTTACAGTTTATTTTTGAAAACTTATTCTAAACAGGAAAAGGAAATTCCTTTATTCAAGAGTATCTGTGCCAAATATAAAGTGAGTTTTAGAAAAAAAAAAGAAGAAATAAAAGGGAGGACTAAATCTTATCAATACTCAAAAACTCATCGTATAATAAACAATGTTGTTTTTTATTAGGTAAGAGAAGATAAACAAGGAGCTGCAGACAAGAATCTAAAACTGGAAAATCTATTACGTAGAGACATCTTTCTATATTCTTCCTGTGAATACGATATCAAAAACACTGTCATGTCATAAATAATAAATCCCTTTACCCAGTTTTCATTTTCTTTGAAATTATTTATAGATAACAACACCATTGAGTGGGAAGGGGGTTGTGGAATTTTTTGAACAATTTTAAAAAGACTTGAGATGAAGTGTGCTGGTTCCTGATTATATGGAATATCATTCTTTCAACTTTGTTCTTTTTAATTTTTTAATTTTTAAAAAATTTTCTAGGGGACATCATTTAGAAAACAGATAAGGCTATTGCCCAGAGATTTGACATGACAAATCCTACTTTTATGTATCAGAAACTCAGTACAAAATGTTATTTATTCTAATTCCACTGTCAGCAATCTATTGGAAGGGAAATTATGAATATTCCTTAAATATTCCTGAGAGTTCTGCTCTCTTTCTGGATATTTTCTTTTCTTAGGAAATTGATTCCTTCTATTATTTTGCCTTTGTACTTACCAGACTTGTAGGACTTATAATCATGTTGATTACCATATAAATTTCTCATGTATTCTGAATATAGAGCAAGGAAACATAAATTTGATGTTTTATCAGAAAAGAGTAATACAGCTATCTGCTACACTTTCAAAAAGATAAACTGGATACTGTTTTACAGATGAAAAAAGATTTTGTGCAGAGAAATGCAAAACGAAAGACCTGCAGGGATCTTCCTACAGTTTTGTTAATCTGAATGCCCCAGTTGTGGAGTCAGAGTCACTGGTGTTGGCCATTTTCCAGCTGAGTAAGGCATCTCATGGTTAGAATGGCCCCTCTTCAATGACTAGCTTTCAAGGACTGCTTTTGATTTGGGACTAGCTTGGCTTTCATGGTGTGCATTTTTCTAACTTCCTTAGTTATCAGAGCACTTGATTAGTTATAAATGAGAAAGTTGCAGAAATTAAAAAAAAATAGAAGGAATTTGAAGGTTTTTTTTTTCCACTTTTCTTAATCCAGATAGAGACATTTGTATAAACTGAATGCAACACTACCCTTGTGATTTATAAAGTGTCAGGTCCTGTTTCCTTGCTAAATATATTCCTCTTCTCAAATAGCACACATTCTTTCTGATAACTTAAGTGTCAGAAAATGGAAGACAAGAAAACAAGTATTTACGCAGGTTTTTTTGGCACAGTTTAGATGTCTAAGGAGTTCCCTGATGTAGTTGGTAGGGGCACTGGAAGTAATTTAGATTTGCAGGATCTATTGAGGTCTCTGTTGAACTGTTACTGCTTTGAATCAGTACAGAGTGATAAAGTGATGGGAAAAAATATATGTCTAGGAAATGTATGTATCTGCATTTCAATTCTATACCATTCCACAGCATTCTACATATAATGTGTTCATCATGTATGTGTGAAAGCTGAAGAGAATTTTCTACAGAGTCAGAATTATTCTGCTAAAGCAAGGCTGTTTGTCTAAGGGATAATTTTTAAAAAAAGAAAAAAAGTCAAACTTTATTTTGTGCAATGCTACCATAATACAACTTGTAGACTTAATAATTAGTGAAGAATTAGTGCTGTCTTCTTGGGATACCAAATAACATTTACTGTATGCCGAATCAAAATCCATCTATAGAATAGATGTATTTTGTTTTAGTAATTTTTTTCCCTTTCTTTTTCTCTTTGTAGACAAGACACTATGGGTGACTACACAGTAGCTTAAACTTACAGCAATATTTATATTTGTTAGCAAAAAAATGTTGTTTATACTTGGAAAGATGTTATAGAATGGTTTAGGTTGGAAAGGACCTTAAAGGCCATCTAGTTCCAGCCCCTCTCAGAGCCCCGTCCAACCTATCCTTGAACATTCAGGGATGGGGTATCCACGATTTCTTTGGGCAACCTCTGCCAGTTCCTCAGCACCTTCACAGTAAAGAATTTCTTCCAAATGAAATCTGCCCTTTTTCAGTTGGAATCCATTTGCCCTTATCCCATCACTACATCCCCTTGTAAATAGCCACTCTGCAGTTTCCTTGTTGGTTCTCTTTAGGCACTGGAAGGCTGCCATATTAAATACCACATTTGTTCTCAGGATATTAGAAGTTTGTTTTGATTCCATGGGAGAGCCAGGTAGTGGGAAAAATACATTGCAAGTCAGAGATAATTGTAAATTCCTTTTTTATTCAAAACATTGCAGTATTTTTAAAAAATGTTTTCCTTCAATTTTCTATTTACTTCACCTTTGTCACTGATGTGAAGTCATGAATGTTACTATTCTCAGTGATTTATGCCTGAACTGTTATGCTTCTTGCATTTATTGCTATTATCTGTTATTATAAATCAAGTTTCAAAATTGTTAATTTATTTCTCATCCTTATGGCCTTCTATTATTTCTGTGTAATGGAAAAAGAATTGTGATGGAGGAGTGAGAAAATTAAATACAGTGTTTTCTTTTCCTTTTATGTCAGCCAGAGACTAGCA